CGAAAGCTCTTTGGTCTTGGCCATGGCGGAGTTTGGAGTCTGACTGTTTGAGGCTGTGGACAGGTGTCTTTTATACAGATGATGAGTTCAAACAGGTGCCATTCATACAGGTAACGAGTGGGGGACAGAAAAGCTTCTTACAGAAGACGTTACAGGTCTGTGAGAGCCAGAGATTTTCCTATGTTTGAGGTGACCAAATACTTATTTTCCACCCTAATTTACGAATAAATTCTTTACAAATCCTACCATGTGAATTCATGGATTTTTTTTCACATTCTGTCTCTCACAGTTGAAGTGTACCTCTGGTGCAAATTACTGACCTCTGTCATCATTTTAGGTGGGGGAACTTGCACAATCGGTGGCTGACTAAATACTTTTTTGCCCCACTGTATTACATGGATATTAACTAGTATGTGGATTCTCTATATTAAATGGGGTCACTTAAAGGTTAGGTGTTTTTTTTGTTTGTTTTTTATAGAGGGATTTCTAGTATAGCGAAGCACTAATTGGTTACAGTTTACACCCACAAAACCATGGTTGTTTGCAAATCACTGGGTGAATATGATGTGTGTTAGTAAATCACCAACAGCTCCTACTCCCTTTTAAACCTTTTTGCTGCTGCCAGTAAATCCCAATATCTTACCAGGAGCCTTCTATTTTTAACGCAAGACACAGACCACCATGGATTAAACTAAGAAAAAAATATCCCAGTGGATGATTAATAGAGGTATAATCCAGGCTAGAGGCTTCATAACTCTCTATGCGAGAGGTCCATACCTCATCAAAAAGGTGAGCTGAGGATAAGCTCAGAGTACAAGTTTCCTGGTCTATCACACGTATTCCAATGTTAGCGCCTCACCTGCTCAAGTTTCCAGTGGAACTCGGCCGGCCGGAAGGTGTCTACCTGGGTGAAGTCTCTCCTCAGCAGAAACACCAGGCGGCAATTATGGACATACAGCGAGTAGTGATGACGGTTCATCTCTGTGGGAGGTAAAAAGAGGAGTAGACACCAGGGACCAAATCACCTCACCTACTCACAGCTGACAGGTAAAGCAAGCCTGACAGGTGGCTCTCACAAATCTGGGACAGCAGCACTTTTCTAAAGGAGGTGAGTTTGCAGGCAGATAGTCTTTCACTGGAATTTAAAAAAACAACAACAAAAATAATCCCTGCAGGGAGGGCATGCTGTCCACAGAGCTGCAAATTTTGTTCAATGTGCCACTATTAAACAGTATCACATTGAAATAAGTATTTCACAAACAGTTGCTGTTTAGATCTGTGGAGGAGCTATAGATATATTCTATACATGTGTAGCTCTATTGTATGGAGGAGTGATATTAGGATGATTTAAGCGGTGATTTATGGTTTTACATCGAACAAAAACAGATATTATCAGACTCTGAGTCTTTATTGCACCACTGTCACTTGGGGTATTGCAGTCAGTGTCTTATACCTTTGCTCACAGACCACAATTCTCCTGTCAACTGACCACACAACACATGATCCACCAAAGAATCAAGGTGCACTTCATTTGTGGTGTTTGAATTTAATTCTGATTTACGATTTCTGCTAATCCCCCCTTACTACAGCTTACCCAGACATCTCTTATAACCTAATGAAATGTCAAAAAATATATTTTTTCCATGAAATGTGTTAACAAATGGCTCACCAGTCTTGTCAGAGTTACAAAGTAGGGTCTCCTTTTCAGCTCTGAGCCCTGGACTAGGCCCATGCTTCATCCATGTTGCAATGGTAAACTGGTCTGTCAAATTCTGTGGTACCACCCAGTCTGGGATTTTGGCTGCCTGACGACCGTCAAACCTGAAGATCAAGTCGCTGTCCCTCCCGCTGTCAGACACTAGGGACGCTGTCCAATTGGTGGCCGTGCCGGGAGCAGGGAGGAGGTCAGTGCTACCCGACGAAGCGCCTGGGGTTATTGCCGTGGGAACAAACAAGAGGTGAGACAGTAGATCTGTCAACAACAATCATGGCAGATACGCAGTGTGCATTGCCTTATTCTTGGCTATGATTACTTAAGAGTAATGCAGATGGCAGGGTTTAATAAGGAATCAATGGGCTGAGATAGCTACGGAATGTGGGTATTGATTCATGGCAAATGAAGCTAACTTTCAAAAGAAATGTGAGCCACTATTCATAAATTCAGAACATAGCTCACTGCTATAATGCACCTCTATGGAAACAGAGAGGAAATACTAACCAAGCACTATGGTAACACAAAGAGAAAAAGACATAGCAAAGGCTTGGTAAGAATCAGCCAGTCGCACAGATGGCTTACAGCTGACACGATCCCTACACATCCTGACAAAACAGACCTGTCGTTACCGTCCTGCACTGAGCTGGCTCATTTGGTTTCTCTTCCTCCCTTTCAAAGCAGCTCCATCATTCCTTTGACACAATAACCCTAATATGTTGAGCCCCGTCCAGTCTTTGTTTTCGAGCCGTCACCTTGACAAACGCAGCCCCTGACACATGCTCACCTCGCTCCTCCATGCATACGACATGCCCCCACCCATCTATCTTCTGCTTTTCCTGTGTGACAGTAAAACATTTATTTCGTCCCTTTAAAATACATTTATGAATTGTTTCTAATGGCTTACTGACGGAAATGGATCAAAGCGACCTGGGAGCTATGATGTTATAGGAGAAAAACCAACCAACCAAAAAAAACAAAACAGGAAGTGTCACAACTCACTGTGTCCCTTGTCCTGGCAAAGAAACTCGAACATGCATCTGTTCATTTCCGCTAATAACACATTAGCACGTTAATTGATGTTTTTCACTCGTTTGTGAAACCCTGTTTTTCTCCACTGCGTGCTCGTGGCGCCGTCGACGTTCTGATTCCAGTAATTAGATTCCCTCAGTAAATAAATACCCATCGACTCCTCCAGCACCCAGCTGCAGCCTTTCCTTTGCCCGATGTCTTTGTACATTATCTCAAATTGATTGTGCTTTAAAAAAGCTATTACAATTTATTCTATTTGCTATCAGATAACGATTATGAGGTGCCTGAAAAGGCCTCTTTAGTGGTAAACCATGCGTGGACTGGGAGCCAGGGGAGGCAGGGAGTGGATGTTATGCATTCAGATTAGGTGGAATGTGGCTTGTGAAGGCCGTTAGTCAAAGATGATGACTCCAGCCCTCCTGCTGGCAGTGCGGTGTGGGTGGGGGTATAGGCTCGACTACTCTGCTGGCGCTCTGGGCACTGACACGGCGGCTCGACTGCTCATCAGTCACTGAGGAGAAAGCGCGGCTGCATCTAGGGCGGCTAATGCCCTCGCTCTGTCACATCATTAGTGACACAGCCTTAACTTGCCATTCTGGTGCCTTCATTTAGCACAGGGGTTTACCGGGGACATAAGTGGAGATAAGAAAGCAACACGGACTGGGAGCTTTCAGATGTTGATTTAAAAAGGGCACAGAAACACACCTCGGGCGCCGTCTGACCCTGGTGCTCAACGCATGGACTCCATTAATGCTTTTAGCAGGATCTAACTTCTAATTTACTGCCCCAACTTTTAGTTGCCTCAGACAGCAGTCTTTGATGAGCCATATACTGTGTAAATCTGCATATCAACCATCGATTTAATAGTCACAAGTTTTTATCTTAATTATTGCTCATTTCGACCACACAAGAATAGCTAGTGATTATGAAAACACAGTAACCCCGAATAACCCACCACAGAGTTTTTGTAGAGATTTCTCAGAATAGGTCTCCCGGTCGCAGCCCTTTCCAATGTGGCTGGTCTGCAGCTCCACCGTGGTCCTCACCGAGGACAGAGGTCCGCCACAGGTCTCGAGGTGCATCCTGGGAAACAGCTGCTTACTGCCTGTTCCTGGCTCATAGTCCACTCGCTTATTCCAGCCTAGGTGAAAAGAAGAGATGGAGTGACAGTCTTAGAGAGGATATATTATATTGTAGAGTTCATCCTGTGAGCGGATGCAGATTATTATCTGTAATAATATCAGATTTTCACAAGCCTGTCGTTGCTTTTGTTATTGCACGTTTTGCGCCTCATTTTGTCCATTTAGACTGCCATCAAAACAACACCAATTCCAATTTTTCTCTGTCACTGGTATTTCTGGCATCACAACTCAATATCCTTCTGGCAGAATGTACCCTACTAATGAAATTGCTGCATTGTTGTTGGAGTGCAGTGCAGTACCTGCATTAGCGGCAATAGTCATTATGCTGTCACTGTCTGCCATGTCAGCTGTGAATTGTGTTTTTCTATCTGGGAAGGCTATTATTTTGTGTGGCAGTAAATTTTTTTCCCTTTTTCAATCAATTTCTTTTTCCAGGCTTTGCGGTGTGATGTTGTGTTCATCTGCAGTGTCTTCTATTTAACAACAGAATGAATTGTGGAATTCTGTAACCCGTTTAATGTTGTGTTTACAGTGAGCCGTTCTCACTCATTATCTCACTTTCAAACAGAGCATTTGGCATATCTATAAATGCTGTCAGCACATATTTCCAACATTTCCTCATCCCTGTTACTTCTTTTACTTTGCTTCCTCTGTCATACGCCAGCATCACCGCATCATCGCTCATGAAACTGGCACTTTAAAAACAAATTATGTGACCTCAGAATTATTGATACCAGCTCTAAACCATCCTGCCCAGTCCATGCTTTTTTCACAAGCATACATGAGCTCGAATCCATCCACTGTCTATCTACTCCTCTGTCCACGATTACTAGCCAGGAGCTGGAGGCATAAGCATGAAGCCAAGCTGACCGAAGAAGAAGGGAGCATCTTTTTGTTGCTCACAAGCCTGTTAAATCTGCCATGTTCACTTCCTCTCACACTCACCAGCTCATGCTGAAACACATACACATGCTGCATCTGTTTTGCAGTTGATTTACTTCCTCTAGACTGCAATTGCTCTGGGCTACAGCACCACTGTTTCTATGGGATTGGCTGTAGCAGAAATGAAAATAGGTACCAACAACAGTGCACGCTAAACAAGAACAAAAGCACATGCAGGAGCATTTTAAGAAAAGGCCACAAGCACAAAAGACTTGGCTAATTTAGCCTTTTTTTCCTTCTTTCTCTTACTCTCTCCCACACACACACACACACACACACACACACACACACACACACA